TATTCTTGAGTGTTCTTTCTCTGTTCTAGAATTGTGCAAACATCTTACCTTGTGAGGTTTTTCTGTAAGTTTGCGAAATTTGTAATCTTCTCTTTGGGAGAGAGTGTTCTCAAGAATTTGGGGTATAATTCTTGAGGGAGTTGTAAGGTTACTCTTTGTCCTCAAAAGAAAGAACAAATTAGTGAATTTGTTGGAAAATCCTTAGTGTGGATAGCTAAGGTAGTGGACGTAGACTTTGGTTGAGAAAGTCGAACCACTCTAAATCGTTGTGCATATATTTTCAATTTTCTGCAAAAGCTTCCACCAAAATTTTAATTGCCAATTCACCCCCTCTTGGCTATTTCATCGATCGATTAACTCAACAGTGTGGCATTCCTCTACTTAGGCGAGATGTGACAAAGCTTGGGTTTAGCTTATGATATGCAATAATTTTATTTATTCAAACAAGAGAAACATGTAACTAGATAGAAATTATTTTTTGGTTTTGAAAAGAACATCATGTATTGTAAATTAAATAAATTTGAACTCAAATTTTCAAAATTCAAAATAAAGTGTAATCGACTCGTGGCTCGACTCTCTTTTTTGTTTAAAGAAACAAAATTCTCAAATAGAGTCACCAAGCTGGCGTAATTGGCTTTTGGGGGCCAATTCTTTGAAAAAAAAGGTTTTAAGAGATGATGAGAGTCATCACTAATCATTTTAAGGTGAGCTTGAATCACTTAAAATTGGGTAATTTAATAAAATATTTTATTTTACTTAAATATCATTGTTTTGGTCTACGAAATCAGAAATTAGGTTCAGTAGTCAGTTATACATGGGGAAGAATTAACACCCTTACAGCACCCAAAATTGGTACTTAGTTGATTACCCTATATTTTAAAATTGGAAATTTTTTTAGTTTCAAGTTTTATTTAATTTAAAATCCATTATGTATGTAAATTTAAAAAGGGTATGAATTTATTATGACCAATAAAGAATACCCTCAAGCACAAGAAGGATTTTCGTTATTAATCCTAATAAATGAATATTTCCTTAATAATTTTGAAATTATGATGCGGGGTTTTGAAAATGATGATGATTTACTTCAGGAATCAATAGTGATCACCCCGAGCATATGCAAAAGATACACTATTAACTCACAATAAATGAACATTGTCTTATTTTGAAATCAAAATATGCATCCAAACAACCAATTATAGAGCCTAGTTACCCCTCTAACAAAAAAGTCGAATTATGAATTTTAAAGGGCCTAAAGGATTAAACCTAAAAATGTAGACTCTAATATTGAACATGGCCAATTTTATCAATTTATTGAATCAAATAATTAAAACAGAACCTTGGGCATAAATACGAGGACCAAATTAAAATTTCTTCTAATTTAAAGACTAAATTGAAAATTAACATAAAATAAAGGCTCCAATTATTAATCCTAACCAATTTTAACCAATTATCGGATCGAATAATTAGTTCGGAACCTCAGGCAAAAATGTGAGGACCAAATAAAAAAAATCTCCTGAATAAAAAAATTCAGAGACTAAATTTAAAGATACTTAGATTTAAGGCCTAAATCTAAATACTAATTAACCAAATTAGGGAGTAAATTGAAATAATCTAAAATAAAAGGTTGAAATTAAAGACATCAAATAAGGGACTAGAATAAAAAAATAGAATATAAGGTTTAAACTAAAAAATGCAAAATATTGAATATTATAATTTAAGGGACCGAAATGTAAATGTTGGAAATTAAAGAACAAAAAATTAAAATACTAAAAATTAAAGTACTGAAAATTAAAATTGTTAGAAATGTAAAATAACAAAAATTAATTGTTAGGAGTTAATTTAATTTTATCTTGAGCATAGATAATGTGAGTTATACCTAGGACGGGTCGTCGCGAGATCGTAGAATTAATTCAATGTAATAAATTAAAAGGTTGGTATGTTAGAATTAATAAAAACTACTCGGATCATAAATAGCGTGAATTGTATCCCAGGACGGATCACCGCGAGGTGGTATAAAATATTTATCAATGGATAATAATAAAAAGTGAACTGAAAATATGAAAAATTGTCAAATAAGACTAACAGGATCAAAATAAAAAAATGAAGAATGGTTACCAAAATGCAAATTTACAATAAAGTTTCAGGAACCTAAAGTGGATTAACTCAAAAAATTTAGTATTTAACCTAATTTTTTCTATTTCAGGCAAATCTCATTTTCTAACCTAAAACCTCATTTCCTTCTCTATGTTCTCTCTCAAGAAAACTTTCCCTTGCTCGTTCGTGAATCCCAAAAGCCCTAAACTTCTTATCAGATCTTAACGTCGCTTCACTTGCCGACCACCACCAACGTCGGTCGAGAGGGCCAAGACCTAAATCAAATAAACCCTAATCCTTCGTTCTTGCTTCCTAAACCTCTCTTCCTTCTTTGTCAGACCCTTTAGGAATCCATTTCCGCCGTAAATAAACGTATTTTCAGCCTTTGACCACACCAGCGGTGATCGATCGAACCTAAATCGACCTAAAATAATTGAATTCTTTTTTTATCCAACCCCAAAATGAGACCTAAAAAAACTAAGACTACCCCTCATCACAACGACCGAAGACCTTCGACTTCGGCGATGACTCTAACTGACGGTGATGAAACTGAACCAAACCATGGAATGAAAATTAATTGCAGGAAATGTAAAAAAAAAATTCGATTCAATAGCTCTGAAAATTATTTTATGTTTCAATTTTTTGTATTACTTTGTGTTCTCTGTTTCGAAAGATGGGGAAGACCCTTTACGTTCAGTTTTGAGGTTTTATAACCCTTGTTGCAAATGAAAAATTAGAATTTTATTTTCATTTTCTTGCATGTGATTTGCTGATGAAACATTTGGGCTGTTGTGGCTTGCTGGGGAGGCGAGGAGAGCTTGGGGACCACTGATGGTGCAGAGAGGAAACCATCGTGACTACTGTGTGCATGAGACTTATTGAGAGATTCATCGTCCACACTTATCAATCAACCTGCATCGTAATTCGAATTAATTTAACAAGAATCGTCCCTATGTAATTTCAACTAATTCAATATCCTCTTACAAACAACTTCAAATTGGTTTTTTATCGTCTTCGATTTGATTTGAAATACCTGGATAAAATAAGGGTATTACAATCTCGATGCCAATGTGCATATGACATGTATATTGTTTTGAAGCATTCTATTTATCCGTTCTAAACAAATATTACCTTATAATTATATTAGAATATTCAATTTTTTTTCTAAGTTCACTTGCCTTATTTATTGTCATTATAGAATTTATAATGAATTATTTATATATTGACATGTGCTATATATATCTTTTTAAGGATAATTTTATTTCTTTTTTCTTTAATTAATTTTTTTTAATTTCCAATTAAATTATATTTTTTTCTTTAATTAATTTCTTCCCTTATTCCATCAATCCTTTCACGATGCGACCTCCATTCTTAACGGAACGGACACAAAAAACATTCACCGTTTCTCTTTTTTCTTTATCCTCTATATGATGTTCTCTGAAAATGAGCAAAAATATCTAAAATTCAAGATGTCTAATGAGTTTTTATTCGATCCGATTTATTTCCTCCATTATTAGATCATTTTCCATCAAAACTTTTTTTTTTCTTTTTAGTCTTGATCTGAATTGTTAGATTTTGATTCGAGTGCAATGCGCTCGTTTAAGATGTGTCCAGTCGGATATGACGCCCTTTTTGAGTTGCTTCATGACTGTGATGGGTTGATCGATGATTAGACGAGTTTTTGGTTTGACGTATTGGCCTCGGTGGGGTTTCGGATTAGATGGAATTCAAGGTTCAAATTGAATACATTCACATATTACATGTGAGGATACAAAATGGGTTGATCTTCAAAGCTTTTAGAGAAGCAAACAGTTTTGCTGATTCTTTTGTGAAGGTGGACATGGAGCCTTCCAATCTCTTCCAAGTCTGGTGCTGACGTTATTCATTGTAATAAACTTTTTCATTCACTTACTCTTATTTTCTTCTTAATAAATGAATGAATGAAATAAACAACAAAGTTAATTACGTATTTTGTCACTCAACTATTATTTTAATTTCGTTTTAATTATTTAATTATTTGTTTTTAGAATCATAACCAATGTTACTTTTTGATTTTGTTGGTGTCATCTGTTGTTAAAAACTAAATACAATTATTGATGTGACATTTTTTTATTTTTATAATGATAACATGTCATTATCTTATGATGATTCGTCAACATCGTTGTAAAATTTTTATTACAAGTGAGTAAAATAGAACTAAAATATCATTTTAGGTATGATTTTGAAAAAGTAATAGTTGACTGACAAAACAAAATCAAAATGATAGTTGGGTGGTTAAATATGTAGTTTATCCTAAACGGTATTTTTTTTTTTTTTGACAAATTATAAATTTAATCTAATTCTACCTAGAGGCTAGAGTAAGAGAGACCCTAGGAGAAGGAATGAGAGTGTTCTTAGTAAGTCTAAAACTCATGATAAAAGAACATACGAGAGAATAAAAATGAACAACTTAACCAACTAAGTTATTATTTTTATTAGCTAAATGTGATTTAACTTAAAATAAATAATTATTTAAAAATATGTCATTGTTATCATGTTTTATTTCATAATAGTAGTGAATAAAATTAGTAACTATGAAATTAGAAATAGGAAAATCACAGCAAACTGTTTAGTTAACACATTTATTGATTGAAGATTGCAAGCAAATATTAAGGATACTTTAAGCAACAAGTTTCCCAAAATTTTATGCTACTACCAAATATCCCTCTTTATCTATCAATATTTTATCTCTATTTGTTAGGTTCACCGCTTTTCACTCTCCTTTTTGTTTTTTAAATGAAAATCATGAAATAGTTCAACACGACATGGCTTGTTAAACAAGCCCCACTCCAGCGCATGAAACACCTGCAGTTTTTGTCTCTCATTTTATTTGTATATAAAGAAAAAAAAAAACAACTGCCGTTATCATGACTTTAAATTCTCATCTTATAAGCAGAGAGGGAAGCAAAAACAAATCTCACTTAAGCCATTCAATGCAGGTAAGTTTAAATTATCATCTCTCTTTATCTTCTTCTTCTTTGTTATCAATGAAAACTCACAGAATGCATTGTAATTCATTTGCAGTTGATTACCAGACTTATCATTACTTGTCTTCTCGTTCGTTTTTGCACTGCTCTCAAGGTATGTATGCCCCCATTTAGCAGGAAACTCTCTTCTATGTCTTGTGTGCGTGTATGTATACATATTTGTGTTGACACAGGAGGGAGAAACGTGCGCATCGAATGGGAATTGTGACTCAGGGTTGCACTGCGAAACCTGTATAGCAAATGGAAACGTACGGCCCCGATGCACTCGAATCCAATCTGTGAACCCCACTTCTAAGGTCTCTCTACTACACTCATTGTTATTAAACCTAAAAGGAGACATGTAGACATGAATTGTGTGACTTTAATGGTGGAAAATAGGTCAATGGACTTGCATACAACCGATACTCGTGGTTGACGACCCATAACTCGTTTGCAAGGCTAGGAGAAAGGTCTGACACTAGCTCTTTGATTTTAGCTCCTTCCAACCAGCAGGACTCCATCACCGACCAGCTTAATGTATGTTTCTCTCCATCCTTTCATCTTTCTGTGCAGAAATTTCTTACCTGAATCTTTTAGGGAGAATAATATTCCTTTTTATCACATGGTCACTCGATTTAAAATTACCTACTAGATTTAAATTAAGTTCTGTTGGATCATTGGTATGAGGTAGGTGGAAAACGAGTTTGGGGTTTGCTTAAAGGGAAATTGTATGGAAACCAGGCTTTCCCTGATGCCGTGCACCTGCATTCTCTTTTGTTGAACGTTTCAATTTGATGGTAGACTTTGAACTAAAGTGAAAAACACCATTGTTTATGTTTCAAATGAGAATGGTGTGCGTGTTAGGTATGTTTATGACGCGAAATGAAGAAGAAAGTTCCCATAGCCTATGTCAGACTTTATTAGTTTATTTGGAATGTTTTTTGTTCACAAGTGAGTCTTAATTTAACTAAGGAAGCTATGCATTATTTTATCTCAAATTGCAAAGTAGGTGGTCCGACCAGCATCAGCATGCTTCTTATTTTAATAACAAGCTAAGCATCATTATATTTAGGTATGAATAACCATGTATACTTCAATCCCCTCTGAATCCCACATGTTAGTCAAGTACGTTAGGTGAAGGTGATCTTCAAAACTATATATATACAAGGATGGACCAAGAGGGGTGGGTTGGGGTAGCCAGTTGTCCCCTGTAAATTTAAAATTATCATATATTTTAAAATTTTTTATGTATTTTCTATTGAAAATATCTTTTCTCCTCGTGTAATTTTATAAGTTCGCCCCTTTCTAAAATTTTAGAAGTTCGTCCCCCTAACATAAAATTTTACGGCCATCCTTATATATATATATATATATATATACATGTATGTATGTATGTATATATGTATATATGTAACCTAGTGGTGAAAATGATATTCATGTGCTTTGCATGCCATCAATACTGCGGTTGACCTATGAATCGTGTCTTACTTGCTTCATAATCTTCTGTCCGATCCGAGCTGCAGTATTTCTAAAAGAAACACTAGTTTAACTGTTAAATGCTTGGGAATTAACCTCCTTTATAGGCATTAATGATCAGAAAAGTATGCAACTTGATTGTTAAATTTCCTCTAACTGAACATTGTTTGCTTGTTCTCTCCCTATCTGGTCTTCTGCTATATTTTAGTGGAATAGAAGATTTCAATAATAAGCTCAGAAGCCGTTTTTTGTGTTACAGAACGGTGTTAGATGTTTTATGCTGGACATGTATGATTTCCAGAATGATATCTGGTTGTGTCACTCCTTTGGAGGACAGTGTTACAACTATACGGCCTTTGTAAGTTCTAGTGTACATCTAAAGCTAATACATATACATATATTATTATATATATAGCCTTAATGGATGAGTTTTCTTCTTTTTGTCAGCAACCTGCAGTTAATGTCTTGAAAGAAGTTAAAGCATTTCTTGAAGCAAACCCATCAGAAATTGTTACCATTATCATTGAAGACTATGTTACCGCGCCAAGGGGCTTGACAAAAGTATTTGATGCTGCCGGCCTGAGGAAGTTCTGGTTTCCGGTGTCTCGAATACCAAAAAATGGTGGGAATTGGCCAACAGTTGATGATATGGTACAAAAGAATCAGCGGCTTGTGGTTTTCACTTCTAAGTCAGCTAAGGAGGCCTCTGAAGGTATAGCTTATCAATGGAGCTATATGGTAGAGAACCAATGTAAGTCCTGTTACCATCATCTTTTAAACAATTCATTCAATGAAGCAGAAAGAAAGTACTTAGTTAAAAAGCAGGGGTGACATTGATGCATTTTGGAAAAAAACAGATGGCAATGGTGGGATGATATCTGGTTCATGTTCAAACCGAGGGGAATCAGCTGCCATGAACACGACATCAAGGTCGCTCGTTTTATTCAACTACTTCCCCGATAGAGCAGACGTAACCGAAGCTTGCAAACACAATTCAGCTCCATTGATTAGCATGATGAATACATGTCAAGTAGCAGCTGGAAACCGGTGGCCTAACTTCATTGCTGTAGATTTTTACAAGGTACGAATTTCGCAGACTGTCGATCGTTACTACTAAAGCACGAATTACATTCCGAAATGAACATTTGTGATCAATTCCCCACATGAACACTTCAGAGGAGTGATGGCGGAGGTGCTCCGGAAGCTGCAGACGTGGCAAACGGCCATATAGTGTGTGGATGCGAAAACATTGCGTTATGCAGGGTATGTAACAATAACTCTACCTATTACCTCCTTTATATTTCCTTGTAAACAAGTAAGAGATGGCTTGATAACTGGTATTTAAATGTTGTGTATAGGCAAATATGACATTTGGAGTGTGCGAGGTACCTGAGGCGGATAGGTCACCTGCACCAAAATCAATAGCACATAATTCCAGCTTTGCTTATTTTGAGAGTCCATCGGTTCTATTGCAGTGGTTGCTTAGCATTATTTTAGTAGCTCTCCTCATACAACTGTAAGCATCAATTTAAAACTTGTGTTTGTTGTACAAAAAAACACACTTCTTCTAAGCTATAGCCTATAGCGGATAACCCAGATAGAGTGATCAGTGGAATGTACTGTTTATTCCAACTTCATTGGTGTTCCTATTCCTTTATTTCAATGATTAAAGCAGGTATGAGTGGGTATCATGAAATTGTTTTTATAGAATCTTTGGCTTCCTTTTTCAGGTTTGCTCTGTCATGCATTAATATAAACATGTTTAAACTTGTATTCCAATTTCTTTCAATTTTAACTCTGATTGTTTTTATGCATTTATAACTGATTTTGTATAGATTTTGACACTTTTTTGTATTCATATCGTATTCTAAAATTTCTTAAAGTAGTCTAATTGTCTTAAATGTATGATCTGAAATAATGTATGCCAACTAAAATTGTTCAATAACGTTTACTAAATTTGGGTATTACACAAAGAGGCCATGGTTGACTAAGAAATGAAGAGTATATGAAATTTTGATTTTTTTTATAATAAAAGTAGGCTAGGACAAACCCTAAAACACAACATTAAGACATGGCTTGGCTAAGCAATACACATCAGGACTGCTTTGCTATTATGTTGTCAGGTCTGTCAATATGCTGAACAATCCAATGCAAAACAAACTCCAACGTACTAATATGATTCAAGGGCGTAGGGAGCATAGTTCCTGGATCAGAGCATTCAAATCACGAAACGTTGAATCTCCACCCTCAACAGCTCTTTTGTAACCCCCAGACCCGGTCTGTAAGATAGACCCAAACCTAAGCGGGTCACATATCCCATTCAGATGTTTTTTTTTATCACTTATACAACGTTAAATATAATATAGAACATAATATTAATAATACAGATATGTCCAAAACGATAATAAAATACATGTCACCAAACATAACCGAAAATTATATAGAAATATATGTTCGTACAAAATAAAGTAGTTGATTTCTCCTGATGCCAAATCTGCTAGCTTATGGTCTGCTGTTATCTGAAAAAGGGTAAAAACTACAGAATGAGCTAAAAAGCCCAGTGTGTTCCATACAGTGTATATAAAAACATACTGATAAAAATATTCCAGTAAAGTCGGTTTATGCAATCATGTCGTTAAAAAAAATATGAACACTACCCCCAGCCCATCACAACAGAATGTGTAGGTTCCCCAGAACCATACACCCAGCCCACACAACAAATAAGGCCCTTAGCACAAAGCCGAGGAACCTGCGGATATACTTCCTTCAACAATACCCCCCAATGATGGAGATGTTCATAAATGTATTTGAATGAAAACAATGATTAAATCTTTAAAACATAAAAGTGTTCATGCTTAACAATAATATACAGAAATACGGAAATCAGAAGACAAGTCAGTAGTATACAGAATTTCAGATATCGAATATTCAATATTCAGAAAATCGGTATAAAATACCGTAACCAGAAATCATATCAGAAATATGTGGCAAATCAGATGTCATATACATAATGTTCAGATGTATATTTTAAAACAGAAATAATTAACACTGTCGGGAAACACACCTGTAACAGTCTGAGAAATCAGATAGGGAAGCCTATTACTGGGTCTGTCGATCACGTTCTGCTGCAGCGCTAGATCCTACGAATTGGAAAAAATCTATATTGGAATCCTAATATAAATAATCTAAATATTATTTAAATAATATACGGAAACCTACTGGTAATTCTCGTAGTACGCGGTTCAGGCTGATCTAACGAACGGATAATACCGGACCTAATTGATCATTGCTCAGGTGAAACACGAGTACCTTCATAAAATATTTTATTGAATAAATCCTTGACCAAATCTCATTTAAATAATCAAAATATTAAAATATTAAGCCTTTTGGGTTTACAAGCTCGATTCGGGAATTTTGGGTCAGAATTTGGCAAAACGGACTTCGGAATCAAATTCAGGACGTCGAAAAATATAAAGTATGACCTTCCGAAATTTCGAATTCTTGGTCAAAATTAAAGTCAACGGGGTTGACTGACGATTTGGAGACTTTCTGGTTTGAATTTAGCAAAACGGACCCCAAAAACGGATTCGGGACGTCGAAAACTATCAGGATACCTATTCTTGGTCGAAAACAAAGGTCGTTTAATAGCTGGTCAAAGCCAGTCAAAGTTCTGGTCAAAGGAGGTCAACAAACTGTCAAACATTTTACACAAATAGCACTTTTTTAAATAATTAACAAAATAGCACCTTTTCGAATTAATTCCTAAAATAGCACCAATTTTGAATTAATTCCCAAAATATCACTTTTTCAAAAATTACCAAAATAGCACCCATTTCGAATTAATTCCCTGAATAGCACTAAACCGAATTAATTCCCAAAATAACACCGGTCAACTGTCAACGGGTCGGGTCAACGGGTCGGGTCAACGGGTCGGGTCGGGTCGGGTCAACGGGTAAACGGGTCGTGACCGGTCAAACCGGTTCAAAACCGGTTTCCAGCGTTCACTCGCCTGCGGCGGCGCGTGCGACGTCCTCCGGGGCTCTAAAAATCACGAAAAAATTTCTAAAAAATTATTTTGAGCGATTTCGAGATACTTACAAAGATCGGTTCAAATTTTTGAACGGCGGAGAGCTCGATTTTGACTTGGCCGAATATTTGACTGATCCACCTCCCCACGCGCCACCGTCAACGGAGATCGAGGATGACACCGGCAGACTCGGAACGGCACAATGAACACGATGGTGCGGGAGGTGTCGTAAACGGAGCAACGATCGGCGATGAATTTAGGATTTTCTAAGCGATTGAGCTTAAAAAAAACGTCGATGCTTTGACTTGAAATTCACGACGTTTGGCAGCGTTTCGCTTCAATTAAATTGAAGGGTTTGTTCCTCGCTCGATGATGAACACGATGGTGGTTTTAAAATGACGATCGGAATTCGAACGGCGTCGGGATCGTCGTCGGAAGTTGAGGTTGGGAGAGAGAATTTGGGAGGAATTGGTTTCTGATTTTCAGAAACCAATTCACGTATATAACAACCCATACCTAACATTTTAGGGTAAATTCAGGGCTTGGTCCCTGAATTTTCTTTAACTCTAAAACAAGCTTCAAGTTTTAAAAACTTCCAATTTAGTCCCCAAAAATCCACCAATTTTCACAATTAAAACCTCAATTCCCAATTAAATATTATTTTAAAATTTTCGGGTTGTTACAATTCTCCCCCCTCTACAAGAAATTTCGTCCTCGAAATTTACCTTATGAAAACAGATGAGGAAATTGAACCTCCATTGACTCCAATGTCTCCCAAGTAGCTTCTGAGGGGCTACGATTACTCCACTGAACTTTGACCATTGGAATACGCCTATTCCGAAGAACTCGCTCATCCCTCTCTAAAACCTGAACAGGCTCCTCCTCATATGACAAATCAGGTCTCAGCTCTACCTCATCAACCTGAATGATGTGATCTGGATCTGGACGGTATCGCCTCAACATAGAAACATGAAAAAACATCATGAATACGACTGAACTGGGAAGGCAACTCAAGCTGATAAGCAACAGGTCCAACTTTCTTCAGAATACGATACGGCCCAATAAATCGCGGACTCAGTTTACCTTTACGTCCAAATCTCAATACCTTCTTCCATGGAGATACCTTGAGAAAAACCTGATCTCTAACCTCAAACTCGATATCCTTACGTCGCTTATCTGCGTATGACTTATGCCTATCAAATGCCTCTCTTAAGCGATCACGGATCAGTCTGACAGTATCTTCAGTCTCTCAAATCAAGTCTGGACCCAAAGTTTTTCTATCATGCAACTCTGTCCAACATATAGGAGTACGACATCTACGTCCATACAGAGCCTCGTACGGTGTGTTAGGATTTTCGAAAGCTCGAAATGACAACCGGAACGATTTGCAAAGAGGGGTCGGAACGGTTTTGTGTTTAGGGAGTAAGGAGATTGAAAGATAGAGAATTGCATAGCGATTTATAGTGGTTCGACTTTCTCAAACAAAGTCTACGTCCACTACCTTAGCTCCTCACCAAGGATTTTCCAACAAATTCACTAATTTGTTCTTTCTTTTGAGGATAAAGAGTAACCTTACAAACTCCCTAGTTTTTCCGGGCTAAACTAGAACCTTTCCCTAGCTTTTACACGGGATAAGCTAGAACCTTTCCCCTTTACAAAAGGATAAAATAAGTAAACAAGAAAACCTCTCTAAGGTAGGTGTTTACAAGATTGAGCTCACAAGAACAAAATATATACAAGAGAAAGATGAAATAAGAATGAAAAATTCTTCTCTTGTGTTTGATTGCTTGGATAGTTGTTCTATTGCTTCTTCAAGTGTCCTTAGCTTGTATTTATAGCTTGGAATGAGTTTGAAGTCGTATATAGCCGTTGGGGATGTTTTGGAGTCGTTTGGGAATGATTTTTCTACTCAAAAAGGTTGCCCAGAATGGGGGGAATCGGTTCCCCTTCATAGGGAATCGATACCCCTTCATAATATTCAAATATTATGACCGTTGGGCTGATGAACAGTGAGGGAATCGGTACCCCCTTGGGGGGAATTGGTTCCCCTTTTACAAACTGGAATTTTTGAGCCTCGGGTTACTGTAAATTAAAAGAACTTTGAATTAAAAGAACTTTGAATTATTTTTGTAAATTTTGAATAAATTTAATTAAGTCCAAAAACATTTTGTAAATTCAATTCAAGTCCAAAAACCATTTTGCCTTAAATTGTTATATCGAAACATAGTTTAACAATCTCCCCCTTTTTGATATAACAAAACATTTGAAAAATTGTTTTTGGCGAAACTCCCCCTTAGTAAAATGTTTAATGAAAAAGATACTAGTTGTTGGAAAACATATGAAAATGTTAAGCTCCCCCTTTTTCATTAAGAAATTGAATTTTTCAAACCATAACTTCTCCCCCTTTTTTGTTATATTAAAAATAATTCAATCTTTGATGTTCAAAATAACTTTGGAGAGTAAGTAGTAAATTTTACATTTAAAATCATTTGAAAAATCAAAAGCTCCCCCTCAATAAATGCATTTCAAACAATATTAAGCTTTTAGGATAATGACACTTAAACAAAATTG